GCAACTTCCAGAAGGGAGGTTCCCAAGAGGATGGAGAGAGGCTGTGCTCAGTGGTGGCAGATGACAGAACGAGGAGCGATGATCTCAAGTTGCAGTGGGGGAGGTCTAGTTTGGATTTTAGAAAAAATTATTTCCCTGGGAGGGTGGGGAAGCACTGGGATGGGTTCCCTAGGGAGGGGGTGGAATCTCCATCCCTAGAGGTTTTTAAGTCCCAACTTGTGCCCCTTGTTGGCAGCCTGCTTCTCTCTTGGCCGCCTATCACTCTAGGGTGGAGGCCCGTTTCTCAGGGAATTCTGGGACGGCACGGAGAAGCGGTCGCTTGCTGCTTCACATCCAGGAGAGCTCTGGAGTGGCTGAACCTTACTGCTAGGGCAATCGAAATCTAGCTCCCAGCGAGCAAAACCGCCAGCAGCAGCCTAGCGGGTCTTTCTAATCACAGAGAGGTCAGGGGTTAAATAAGCGTGGAGAGCAAACTCCCCCTCTGGTTTGTAGAAGGGTGGATCCCCATGCTGGGTCTGCCATGGGGATGTAACTACCATGCTAGCGCCAGTGCTGCTTGCAGATCTCTTGCCGGAGGTTCCCTGGGCTGTGGTAGAAACAGTAGCTGGCTTCCTACCTCCCTCCCTCTCACAAAGAAGCAGACATGGTTGGCTGGCAAAGGCCATCTTCTCCTGTTTCCACCCTGGTCCACTTCCCTAGTTCCCTCCCTTCCTCCGGGCAGCTGGGTTCCTGGGCCGCGAGGGGGACACTTACCTCCCAAACTGGGACCGATGCTCGACATTTGCCCGGCGTGAGTTCTGGTGCTTGCTGGGGAATGAAGGGCCCAGTCAGGACAGCCCTTGCCTGGTCCCTGCAGCTCACTGTGCCGTTCCCTTGGCCTGGAGAGGGGGACTCCATTGTAGGGATGAGAGAGCCATTCGGGCTCCATTTCCAGCCTGCTCTTGGCCTTTGTGCGGAGCCAGCCAACACGTCACTGCTGGGAACTGAGCTGAGGCAAACGCCCTCCCCAGCCCCCCCGTCTCGTTTCACACAGGGCAGCACGGTCCTCTCCAACTAGGTGCCCTCAAATGTTGCTCAGTCACCACCGCACTAGGCCAGGGTCAAACCAGTGACCCAGAGGATGCTCTGAGACCTCTCCTCTCCTTAGCTGGCCCATAGGGGCTGGGGCTGCATTACCCAGCACACCAGGCGATACTCCTCAGTCGCCCATTGCTGTCTGCCTCGTAGAAACGCCCAATACCCTGCAAAAGGCGTGTTCATCTCGGCTAAGAGTCCTGGTTGTGTTTCAGACTCAAAAGGGCTTTCCAACCCCGCGGAGGTGGAGGCGTTGCGCGAGAAGGTGTACGCGTCGCTGGAGGCCTATTGCAAACACAAATACCCCGACCAGCCTGGAAGGTGAGTGTCTGAGCACGGGAACCTGCCATGGGCAGGGCCAGCACCAAGCTCTTGTTCTTTTTCGCTAAACGAGATCTGCCCACAGTGCCCTCCAAAAGCTCCTTAAGCGGAAGGGTTCCAAGAAGCATCCCCTCCCCACGCCAAGTGCAAGTTGAACCTCACTGGTCCAGAAACATCCGTCGTTCAAAATGATTTCCGTTAGCTGGATGTCCACTCTTCATGAGTGTGGCCAAGTTTCCCACCGTCCCATAAAGTTTGGTTACAACCACCAGTCCTGGCTCTCTCTGTGACGTAGCTCTGATTTATCCCTAGATGTCCTATAAGAGCCCAGGAAGCAATGGAAGTGTTGGTAAGGCTGTTAGACAATATTGACCACCCGTGGTCCAGAAAATTCTCTGGTTCGGAATCAGTCAGGTCCCGAACATGCCGGACTGGAGAGGTTCAACTTGTAATAACAACGCTGTGTGTTACTGCAGGCATTGTCTTGTGTCTGGGAAGCTAAGACCCTTTACAGTCCTTACGAGCTGCAATAGTCTTACAGCTGCTTCAGGGGGCAGCCGAGTTAGTCTGTACAGGATACACTTAAAAAACAACAAATGGTCTGGTAGCACTTTATAGACTAATGGTGGCATATCAATGGTGGCATGAACTTTGGCGGGATCAGGCCTCACCCTGTGCTCCAGAGGCTGATGCCCTATCCCTGAGGATTCCACCCCATCTCCAGAGAGTCCCTTATCCTGTGTTGGCTGCTCCCAGGTTGCATGGGGGAAGGATGGGGTTAGAGCTACTGACGGGGGATGGGACTTGAACCCACAACTCTGCCCTCTGGAGGCAGGTGCTCTATCCCCTAGACCACTCCAGGAACTCCCCCGCCCGTTGCGAGGGTCCCTTATCCTGCTTTCCTAATGTGAGTGCTATGTCCATCCCTGGCGCAGCCTGTGTTGGCTGCCCAGCCACTGTCTGGGTGGTGGGAGGGGTTGAGCCCGCGAAAGCTCATGATACCATCTA